TGCGGCTTTTATTCCATTCTATATCGTTTTTTAAATACGAGAAAGACAACTTTGCTGATTCCATCTATCGGCGATGCCGTATATCAGGTTTTTTTTTAATCCATAATAGATGTCTAATTGGACGTCGATGATAGATTTGTGGAGGACATCTATCATGGATATAGTATGGATCTCTTTTGGAGATCTATTTAACTTCCATCGTGGACGTGGATATTGTATGGAGCTATGGAGGCTATATGGATGTCTAATGGAGGTTTTGTTCCGTGTGGGATCTGAACTAGCGTACTTTTATTATATACTTAAAGTAAGAAATAGGTATATGTTTAATAAAAATTAACAAAAGTGAGAAAGTTTTAGTGTGGTCCAGCAGTCATACACAATCCTGCTTACTACATATATTTTCGTTAAAGTGTTCTAATTAGAGTGTAATATATCACTGATAAATATGGATAATTCTATCAACAATATACAACAGGTAAATACATGCATTCTTTATTATTATTATTAGTATGAGATCTGTAACATTATACCATATTTCTCATCGTATTAAGTACAGTATTACTCGTTTGTATAGCTTTATTTTATATTAAATATTATTGCTTCTTTATTATTATAAAATTTGTATCTGGTAAGTAATTACTAAATAAAAGCGAAAAAGAGAATGATTAACTCATTTATTTTACTTTCAATTGCTGTAAAATGCAATTAGTTATACTTTTGATTTCTAAGGATTTCAGATTTATTTATTCGAAAAGTTATTATATATATATTTCGTAATCTTGGTAAGTTACAATTGAGAAATACTTTTATTTCTTACTATATATTTATTATATTAATTTAACTACACTACACAACTAATACTACTATATCATTATTAAATTTATTGAAATATTGATATATTATATGTACATCTCTATCTTAAATTGTATTATATTAAAAGTTGTAGTTATAGTTAATGTGTGCTGTTTATTGGATATGCAGAAGATTATAGTAAGTATGATTATAATAACTTATATTTTCTTTACTATTTAATACTATATAATATTATATTTCATTAACGTATAATTATATTTTGCATGTATATAAAGGGAGAAAATGAAGAAACAGATGACTACGCCGTACACATGTATAAATGAAGAAAAGGATAACTGTGCTAGATACATGGACACTGGCAGCATGGTTGCGCCGCACTTATAATGTGCATATTGGCAGCAATATTGCGCCTTATTATCGATAAAGACAAGAAATTAGATATGAATGGAATGGAAATTAAAGGATTTAAATTAGAGAATGCCAAGCATAATATTTGAAAATCAAATAAAAGTGTCCATAAAGATAAGGTACCAAAGACCACTACAATGGACATCAAAAATTTAAAGAATGCATAAAGCATAAATGGAGATCAATAAAGGACACAGATTATAATCACATTCAGATATTTATATCATATATAGTCAATGAAAAGCAATAAATGGTCTATTCTTTTTATTACTCTTCACTGCCAACTGCACATAGTCCAACATCTTACATCATTCATCTTTTTCTCTTCAATGTGGAGAGAAATAAAGGAAAAACATCAATTAAACAAACATTAATAAATTTAATCCATATTAATAATATTATATCATTTAATTTGCTGTAAAATATTATAATGTTAAAGAACAGAAGACAATGAAAAATTTATTTTAAAAAAAATTATAAATTGTATGTATTAGTTGCATAATTTGAAATACTTTTTATTTTTTTTTAATTATTTCTTTTGATACTATTTATTTTGTTTAATACTAATTTATTTATCATAATAACTCTTTTATTTTTGGAATGTATAATTATTTTTTTAATTCTTTGTTTTCTGTTTTAACTTAATTATCCTTGATTATGCTTTATTTTATAAGTTATTTTTTTTATGTTTACAAATAATGTTACATAGTTTATTTTTATTATTAATATATAGAAGTTTAATGTAAATATTATATAAAATAAGTCTGCTTCAGGTGTCACAAAGAACAAAGAGGAAAAATATTGGACGAAAAAGCAAAGCAGCAAAAAAGCAAGCGCTATATAGAATACGACAAACAACACGTTCTGCAACAGTAAGCAACGAAGAAATATCTCAATGTATAGCTAATGATACATTATCAGCCAATTTTCAAATATTACCAAATATAAATAATAATATATTATCAAACCAAGACATTGTACAAGTCTGCAGTATTGATGCACGGAGAGAAAAATTATTAAAACAATTTCATTCTACTATATGGTCTTTTGCGGATATTACATGTCACATTTGTAGGAAATTATTTTATAAAAAACAAATATGCACTACAAAAATATCTACTGTATCTACAGATATTTTCCCGAACGAATTACGCAATTTGAAC